TTATTAACCACTCAATCACCAGGGGAGTCCCTATCCTCATGTTATACACGAGGGGACAAGCCTACAGAAGTTAGATGCCTTTACTAAGGTACTGCACCTGGTTAGTAGTAGACCTTGGCTGGAAAATGAAAGAAGACAGTCTGATGGCTGAGTTTAATCTCTAGCTGGTTTTGCTGTTTTATCATGGGAGTGTCCTCAAGCAAGCAAAGTCTGGGTCCTGAGGGTGGAGAATTGCCCTCTGGAGTGGTGGGCAGCATAGAAGGGGGAGAAGCCAGCGAAGGGGGTCTGAGAAGGAAGCCGAGGGCCGTGTGTGCGTGCCGACTGACACTGCAACCAGGATGCTCACAGTTTGATGACAGGGGCTTATGTTCTAAATATTCTCATAGATATGTGAGACCCGACTCCTCAACCTGACTCTCAAAAATTCTGTCACAGTGTTTTACACAAAAATATATCTTGATTGGACCCTGATGTTGTGTCAGCAACTTTCTTGAGCTACCCTCTGAGTCAGACCATCCCAGTCGCTGGGTCCCCACTTGTTATGAACGAGGGGCTCATTCACAGGAGGATGAGCTCTTCACGTCTCTAAGAGGAACAAAGGTACACTGCTAGGTTTATCCTCGCTACACATGCTGGGTAGGATCGCTCCCACAAACTCGTAGCATGCCGTTTTCACTTGTGTTGCCTCTTTGCTCGAGTTGTTGAATGAGTATGAGATAACATCCTTTTACCTTTGAAGCAGGCATTTTCCCCCTCTTTTATTAGATATTTCCCTGCATACTTAGGACTTTGTAAATATACAGTCAGCCCCCTTTCTTTGCAATCTGAATATCTAGGGTGTGCGTGCATAGTTGTATCTGACTCTTTATAACCCCATGGACTGTAGCCTGCAAGATTCCTCTGTCCATGGATCTTTCCAGGAAGAGATACTGGAGTGGGTTGTCATTTCCTTCTCCATGGAATCTTTCCCACCCAGAGATCGAACCCATGTCTCTTGTGTCTCCTAGTTTGCAGGTGGATTCTTTACCACTAGTGTCACCTGGGAAGCCCAAATAGTGTTGCATCTTCTAGACAACTGCTGCACCCCTGAACCAATACGGGACATAACTCCCATTGCAAGTTAACACAGGTTTTAGACCAGCCTAGTAGATTAAAAGCAAATTCTTTGAAGACAATAGAGAAATGAACTGCAGCTTTAACTTGGCAAAACTATTTATTAAAATAGTGATTTAGGAAATTTTTTTCAAATGCCACTCTCAGTTGTATATCTCATTTGAGAACTCTAACCCTCTGCTTCAGGAATGGACTTTCTTTAGGACAGCCCTGGCCTGTTCCTGTGGTTTGGTGTAATTCTTAACAGTGACCCCTTTCACTCTCAAGAGTCCCAGTTTGGATGATAAAAATTTATGGTCTCCTCTAACAGGCCTTTTGGAATAAAGTCCATGTCTTTGAAGATTGTGTTAATCTAAGAAAAATCACTTTATCTGTCCTACAACAGAATATTTGGCATCCTACCTTACAGTCATTTACATATTTCTTCAGAGCAGCAATTAAAAACCACATAAGCTAATGAATAACTCCTATGGCTCTCTTACTGTTCAAAGCAAATAAAGTAACTTCATAGGGGCTCACCTAATATGGCAGGCCTGGGAGGGAAGCATGAGGGTTTCAAGTTTGTGTTTGCAAAGCCATTTCCGATTGGTTAAATTAGTTTTTCCAATTAATATGTGCAATAATTTGTTCCCACACTGGACAGCAAGGGAGCAGCGTCTTAGAGAAATCTGACTCTGTGCCGTGTTTGACACCATTCATCCTTGAATTCCAAGCCCACTGTGGTTTCCTACATCTTTTACAGACTTGAGTCACCTGATTTTCTGTTTTTCAGGAGAGGGTATGCTGTGGTTTAGCAATCTGAGGGTAGTCAGAGTGTGAAAACATCCCCAAAGTTGCTCTGAGATTTACTGCGGAAAGCGGGTTTCCACGGTGCCGGGCGGCTGCTGGGAGGAGGCTACGCATGGCACAGTGGCAGAGCCTTCTTTCTGGAGGGAGAACAGCTTGTCAGGGTAAAACTGGGCACCTTGTGGACAGTCTGAGGCAGACGGGGTCTCAGGACATCTGGTGGTCTGCGGGGAGAGGGAGGATGGGAGACAAGGGTGGTCTGCCTGATTGCTAAGGCCCTTGTAATCTAAAGAAGCTGTAGCCTGACTTTAGTTTGTATTCTATCTGCACTTACTTGGGTCCCTGTTTGCAACCTACTTTTGAGCATAGGAAATAAGTTCAAAGGAAAGCAATTTTACCTCCAAAAAATGTGCTTGGAGAGTGCTTGCCTTGGGGGAGAAATATACAGCAGCTAAGCAGCTTACAGAGCCACAGCCACGAAACTAGGAGAGAACTACGGCACAAGGTTTGGTTTGAAAAGGCCTTTGCACAGCCTTTCTCCACCTCTCGGGTGCTGTAGTGGGGGTGGTGAGAAGGCTGGGCTGTCACTTGCCGGAATACATCCAGAAGACCCAGAATACTATTTTAGAGTCAGAGGTACTCTGCAGAGATCTTGCAACCCAACTCTGTCATTTGACACAGGGTCTTTCAGAATTCTAGGCTGTGAACTGCTAAACTGTAGTGCTCATCAAGCCACTGTGAAAGGGAAAAGTGAAAGTTGCTCAGTCGTGTCTGACTCTTTGCGACCCCCATGGACTATACAGTCCAGGGAATTCTCCAGGCCAGAATACTGGAGTGGGTAGCCTTTCCCATCTCCAGGGGATCTTCCCAACCCAGGGATCGAACCCAGGTCTCCTGCATCACAGGTGGATTCTTTACCAACTGAGCTATCAGGGAAGCCCTTCAAGCCACTAAAACCTAAAAGATTTAATAATTGTAAACTGAGAGTCATTTCTTCCTGCTGTGAAGAACTGTCATGAGACCTAACTGAGTGACTCTGGAAACAAACTGCAATACTTCCTGCCTAGCCATGGAGCTTGCTCACCGTGACTGGCCACTGTCCTCAGAGAGGCAGCGAAGGAAAGTCGAAACCTCAGGACCCAGTCCTCAATTTTGCATTCTCTGATGTAAACAGCCCTCTTCCCCTTAAGTATATAAACTCCAGAACCTGAATCTTGGTCAGCCTGCTACACACAGTAAATCTGATGCTCCGACAGGCCCGGGTGAGCAAAGGAGACCAGGTGAGGATGATTCAGCCAGACCCGGCTGGGAGAACACACTGGGGCCTGTGATGCTGGATCAGGCTGGCTCACGTGATGGCTCAGACTGCCACCCCCTCCTTGCTTCTACCGCCATTAGCTCCTACTTCTTTTTTTAAAGTTTAACATATGAAAACTTTTCTGTTTTAAATTAATTTTTAAATGCAGACCCAATCTCTAATCCACATAGAGTGAATGATTTAGCTTTTCCATTTTTTTTTTGGGGAGGGGGTGTCAATTTTGTTAATTGTGTTTTTCAAGGAATTTGCCCATGTTGCTTAAATTTTTAAATTTATTCACATAGATCTGTTCATGATATATTTTCATTCACTTTTTTTTTAATGCCTATTCTCAAATTAGTACTGGAAGACTTAAGTTTGAATTTGGCTTTTTCATCACAAGCTGTTTGCCCCTACGTACGTTACTTAAAATGTCTAGGCCCTTTACTGGATTAGAAATATATATATTAGAGGTTAGGGTACTATAATATGTTCCTTATTATTTAGTTAACGTGCCATGAGATAAGAAAAAATAAGAGTGATCACTGTCGCTGATATTATTTTTGGAAGGTATCACAAGACACTGAGACTGGACCTGAACATTTCAGGATATGTGAGCTGCTCTATAGGACTGTGAGTACACACCCAAAATGTCTAGGTCTTGTTTTCCTCATTTGTAAAATGGGAAGAATAATCATATCTATTTTTAGGGCTGCTGGGATGATTAGATGACATGTGTATAAAACCTGGCACATACCAAGTGCTGGATCGATGCTTGCTCTTATTATCATGTAACATAATCTGACCAGTTGTCTAAATTGTCTTTCAATGCTGCTCAGAGCTTTTAGTAGAGGAGAGGAGGAAACTAAGCCATGGATGCCCTCAGCACTTACAGCCCAACTCTCCTGGTTAGCCCATTCATTGGGCTTCCCCTGTGGCTCAGCTGGTGAAGAATCTACCTGCAATGTGGGTAGACCTGGGTTCAATCCCTGGGTTGGGAAGATCCCCTGGAGAAGGGAAAGGCTACCCACTCCAGTATTCTGGCCATGGGGTCGCACAGAGTTGGACACGACTAAGCGACTTTCACTTCATTTCAGACCATTAATAGTTGAATAGGTGTGAAGGCGCTCAGCATCACACTCCCAGGCTGGTGCATCAAAGGAACCATTACCAGGTCACGGAGGAAGAGGCTGGGGCAGCTCAGATGACTAGTGTGAGGTCACTCATCTGGAAAACCAGGAGTGCCGGACCCAAACCTAGCTGGTGGGCCTCCTGAAACTGTTTTAAGAGTTGCCTCGCCTCCAAACTCTCTCTATCCTGCGGGGCGGTGGCGCAGCCCACGACCTCAAGAGGCCTGTGTTCAGCCAGACCGGTTACCGACCGTCTCCCCGCAATTCACTTAATTTTTTAGACACTCTCACTTGCCAAACCTGAAAACTGAAACCCACACCTCCAGCTTTTGTGGCCAAGATCACAGGCGAGAAAGCACTTCGGAAACTGTCAGGGGCTGTAACGAATAACCTCTGCAAAAGGGCATCTGAGCGTAAGCCTCCCCAGTCTCCCTGGCCCAGGAATCGCTCGGGTCTCCCCGTGAGCCGCGCGGGCGGGGTGGGCAGGGGGGTCAGCCCGCGGGGCTCGCGTCTGGGCGTTTCTGCAGCGGCCGGGGAGGAGTTCCGCCCTCGCCCGCGTCCCTCCCCGCCGCCGCCTCGCGCCCGCACTCGCGCTCCGGGAGTCTCTCCGGCCCGGCCCCCGGCGGCGCTTCCCGGGTCCGCAGCAGGCACCGCGCGGCGGGCGGGCCGCCACCATGCAGGTCCCGCACAAGGAGCACCTCTACAAGCTACTGGTGATCGGCGACCTGGGCGTGGGCAAGACCAGCATCATTAAGCGCTACGTGCACCAGAACTTCTCCTCGCATTACCGGGCCACCATCGGCGTGGACTTCGCGCTCAAGGTGCTCCATTGGGACCCGGAGACCGTGGTGCGCCTGCAGCTCTGGGACATCGCCGGTGAGCCCCGGGACCGGGAACTGGGGCGGGGGCACCTCGCAGACCATCTCCCGGGCCAGGGCAGCGGCTCGCGGCCCCGCGGAGACCCGGGTCTACCTCCCCGGCTCTGCGCCGCGAGAGACTTTTCGGGATGGACTGCAAACTTGCGTTTCAAAAGAAACAAAAAAAGTTTCTTTCTAGCGCGCGGCAACTTCAAGTGTGTTCCGTGGCGCTTTGCGGCGGCTGCTTTCTGTCCCTCCCACAGCCTCCCCTGGGATCTCTGGGCTCAGCGCGGGCCTCCCCGAGACCCAGAGGGAGACCCTCTGGAATTGCACTCGGTTCTGGGTCCCCAGCTCACTTTCCGGGCACTGGCAGTCCTGCGGGTGATGCCGCCCGGAGCGTCCACCTCGCCCTTCCCAGCCTGGTGCTGGGACCCCCGAGGGGAAGCCCCTAGACCGGTTCACAGCGGGAACCCGGAGAGTTCCGGACTAGAGCCGTTTCCGAATTCCTGTTCCTAACTGCTCCCTTTATTCCAACTTTCGACACCCCCTTTTCTACCGTTCAGTCAAGAAAGCTGGAGGTTCTCTGCTTTGAGAAAGCCAAGGACCTTTCTGTGTCTGCATTGCGGGTGAATCTCACTGTTTCTGCTTGTGCTTCTGTCTCTCTCGTCTATGAAAAGGAGATGGAGTATATATATTCCTGTTAGGGTTACTTTTGTCTAAGGGTCTATTCTTTGCGACCCCATGGACTCTAGCCTGCCAGGCTCTTCTGTCCATGGAATTCTCCAGGCAAGAATACAGGGGCAGGTAACCATTCCCTTCTCCAGGGGATCTTCCCAACACAGGGATGGAAGGCAGGTCTCTCGCACTGCGCGCGGATTTCTTACCTTGTGAGCTACTGGGGAGCCCCTTTCTATGACATTCTCCAGAGTTCTTGATTTGTTCCTAATGTTTTCACTTAGAGGTCTGGAAAACGAGGAGCCTCTTACAATGTTTGAAATCAGAATTTGATTCCCAGGGTTTGTACCAGGAGTTGGGGCGTCAGTCTAAGGTGGAGGTGCAAAGAGTCCCTGGACCCAGACTGTGGCGTGTTCAACCCCTCACTGCAGATCCCGGCTCGCTGCTCACCAACCTGCTCCCCACAAGCCCCTTCAGCTCAGCCGCTTCCCCGTTAAGTTGGCAAGCAGTCAGACCATGACAACTTGGGGACCCTCCTGCTCAGAAATTTTCAGGCCCCTGGGATTCCTTGTGAACCTCTTCAAACAATCAATGCACTTCACCTCGGTCTATTTCATAGTCTGTGGCACTAGGAACCTTTGCAAGTGCTGGACCCAAACTGGCCACTTCTCTTCCAGAAAATAGGTTCATTTTAGCAGGTGCTTTTGACTGGAAGCTTTATCATGGCTTGAAGGGAGAACACATGTGGGAAGTTTTGTGAAGGGCATTTCTCATTCTGGGGACTCCAGTGCCTCTTTAATCAGGAGCTGTCAGGCCTGATGATAAAAGTCTTCGCAGGTGAACAGCTTCATGCATTTAGTGTCATCGTTAACTGCTCTGGTAGCTCAGGGATTAGCAGAGACCAGAAGATGCCATTGGCCGCCATCTGATTGGGCTCTATACCTAGAAAATCATCTGAGTCTGGGCACTTTGCTCTGCTTCGTTCAGTGTCCAAGAGCTCTGGTGTTGCATTGACATCCCTAGGACCCAGGTTTAGAATTAGCTTACTCTTTGAACAGGGGTGTAGCTGTAATTTAGTTTTTAATGTGAAAAGCAAATAAGGATATGACCTCAGACGTGTTACATAATGTCTGTGGGTCTCAGTGTCCTGAGTATGCTAGGGTATAGAGATGAAGAGCCTAAATTCCAGTCCAAATGCTTCCATCTGAATCCTTGTTTTACCCTGTATGTCTTGAGCAATTTGAAGTAAGTTTCCTAACTTCCTAGTCTCCGTTCCTTATCTGTAAATAGAATGCTGTCTCCCAACAAAGGAGAAAACAAGATGAAAACCGACAAATGCTGACTGAACCCATTAGTACTTACTCCCTAGGAGAACTGCAAGAATTGTTGCTATAGTAGCTACTTTTTGTTTTTTTGAATATGTGTAAATGCTAGGCAAGAAGGACATGATTTAAATGTGCTAATTAGATCTTATTAAATGATAATTCCCGATGAACGAATATAACCTGTTCTAAAACACCCAGCACCATTTCCCAGCTTTATCCATATTACAACATGCTGTCTTGAGCAATTCCATCCCCAAGCTTAGAAATACCTCCTTCAGTTTTGAAGTTGCCATGGAGGCTATAGTCACAGAAGTCTGTGTATATAAGAAATCCAAGGAGCCTCAGAAAGTCAGTTCTGTAGATATGGTGGTGTGCACCATCTCTGTAGGGAAGTTTATTTTTCCCAGAGCTTTGATGTTTAATGCTAACCTGTCATTGTCAGCCTCCAGCCCAAAGAGCCCTGTGGGCTGGGTTTGAAGCTCTTGGTGGCGGTGGTTTAGTCACTCAGTCGTGTCCGACTCTACAATGCCATGGACCATAGCCCAGCAGGCTCATCTGTCCATGGGACCAGGCAAGGATGCTGGAGTAGGTAGCCATTTCCTTCTGCGTGGGATTTTCCTGACCCAAGGATCAAACTGGGGCCCCCTACATTGCAGGCAGACTCTTTAACCAACTGAGCTACCCAGGAAGCCGGCTTAGAAGATGGGCAGCAGGCAAAGCTGGTTGAGGGGGAGCTGGGCCCTTGTGGGGAAGGATGATTGGAGTGTAGAATGGACATGTTTCAAGCTCCATAGCTAGTCCTGTGAAGAGTGAGTGCGTATGTGGAAGCCAGCCGCAGCGGCCCAGTCAGACCCCATCAGCTAAGTGTTTCTTAGAGCGTCTTTAGATCTGCCTGTCGGTCCAACCGTGGGGAATGCTGTCTCCTTGCTGCTCACTTCTGGCGTGTGTCTTACAGGCACGGGTGGTGACACTCACTCTGAGCTTACTAGGGGTGTTGATGAAGTAGTGGAAACATGTCCTGTCCTGACAGGATATCACATCCATCTGCTATCAAAGGAATCTTTTGCTCAATTAGACTTTTAATATCTATTTGGTTCGGGGCCAAGTCAGGTCCTATTTGTTCAACTAATTCCCGTGATCTTTGTCTTGTGGTCACTTAGACTGGCCAGTCTGCTTCTGAAAAAGACTGCAGAAAGTACCTTTCAGGAATTTGTGAAGTAGACTTTGAAATCACTGAGATGAATCCCACAAACCCCATAGAGGACTCTGAATCCCAGTGATTCCACCATAGAAGAGCATCTGAGTTAGCTCTGGGTTTGGAAACTCTTGATAGAGTCAGGGAAATTAAGTAATTTTGCCCAAGGCCACCCAGCTAGTAAGTGGAAGAGCTGAATTTGACTCAGGTCTGTTTGATTTGGAATCAAGCCACGCTCTTCATAACCATAGCCCTGTGAGGGCCTGGTGCACAGTTGACCCACTGGGGTTATACCCAATTCCTCTTTAAGGGCATGGCTTATTTAGTAGATAGATTATCCTTGCCTTCTTTCCTGTATTGCTAATATGTTTTTGGATGGTACCACAGTGCAGAGAATGGAAAGAAATGGAACAGAAATCTATTTCTGGGCTTCCCTGATGGCTCAGTGGTAAAGAATCAGCCTGCAATCCTCCCGAGACATGGATTTGATTCCTGATCTGAGAAGATCCCACATGCAGTGGAGCTCAAGCCTGTGTGCTGGACTATTGAGCCTGTGCTCTGGAGCCCGGAGCCACAGCTGCTGAGGTCTCGTGCTCCAGATACTGAAGCCCATGCGCCCTGGAGCCCAGGCTCTGCAACAAGAGAAGGCACCACAGTGAGAAGCCCTCCCACTGCAGCTAGAGAGGAGCCCCCACTTACAAAAGCTAGAGGGAAGCCCGAGCGGGAACAAAGAGCACAGTCATAAATAAATAGGCACAAATTAATAAACACACACACACTCTCAGAGTCAGAATTTCTACCCGGTTACAAAAGCACTCATTTCAAAAAATGAAAGAAAATCTATTTCTGAAAATTTGATTCTTAGTTATAGGGTTTTTTCATTTTATAGAATAATCAAAAAAAAAAAGAAAATGTTCACCCTTGAGACTCTCCTTTGCTACTCCTCTCCGAAACCTGATGCTTTGACTATTCCATTAAGTACCTTGCACAAGTCTCAGAGCTAGTAAGCAAAGTGGGAATAAGCTGCTCAGTCCTGAGTGGGCACAGAGAGACCGTGTTAGAGCAGATAGAGATTGCAAGAGGCACCATCGTGTGAACATGTGGTATCACAGGAAAAGAAAACAATTGCCAGTGGAAAGACGGGCAGCTGAGATCCAGCAAAGCTTCATGATTTGCCCAATGTCAAGAATTCCAGCTTTAGAGTATCCATAATTTACAGTCTATAATTAATGATTTATTTGTTAGAACACATCTGAAGTATTGATCACTTTGATGACTCCATTAGCACTTTCAACGAGAACAACACAATTTTGTCTACAAGTCTTGCTGTGCTTTGGGAACCAGGTACTGGACTTAGTGATAGTAATAGTAGCTAACATCTTTTAGACACTTATTCTTACAATTATCTGTGCATCCATAATTTTTAATTTGCCAGTAAAATAGCTGGTTAAGTGGTAGTGCTGGAACTTAAAACTTGGTCATTGAATCTAGCACCTAGGTTCCTAATAGTTTTGCTCTACTTCCCGCAGTTCAGAAATAGAATACTTCAGATGTAGTCTAATAAATATAAATTATGGATATTCTAAAATGGTAATACATGACATTGGGCAAATCATGAAACCTTGCTGGACCTTAGTTCCCATCTTTAAAATGACAACTGTTTTCCTGTGATATCTCCTGCATGTGGCATCTCTTGCAGTCTCTTTCAGCTCTAATATGGTCTCACTGTGCCCAGCTGCTTCCCTGGTAGCTCAGCTGGTAAAGAATCTGCCTGAAATGCAGGAGACCCTGGTTCAATTCCTGAGTCAGGAAGATCCCCCGGAG